ATGAAAGGCAGAATACTATACAAATTCATCTAAATTTTACTTGAGTTTTTCTAAGCCTCTTAGAAATATTTCACTAATTAGAAAAATAATTCTGAATAAAAAGAAAGTTAATATACAAATAACTAGAAATCTAACTCAATTTTGGTAAGTTTTACATTATTTCACGAATAAAAAACAGGTGAAAACACAGAAGTTGTTCATGTAAAACAGGGCATTTTATAGTCATTTATATAAACAGCTTTTTTCATCTTCTACATTAATAAGAATATGTCACTATAACTGATCTTTTTAGTAATCCTGAGACACAACAAAAACCCTTGAAGTATCTGAATTAAAGAAAAAAATCAGAGATATACTGCATATAATCTCAATTAGAAGTCAATTAAACAATAAATCCCATTTTCTGGAGATTTTCAATAAATTAATTTGCTGCAATTATACAAAAAATACAAAACATTATAAGGACAGGGACTTCACTTTGCTCACTTCTGTATTTGCAGCACCTAATATAATGCCTGATATGCAGGAGGTACTCAATAAACATTTATTAAATGAATAGTAAGAATACTTAAAAATATATGCTTTATATGCTAAGTTTTTAATCAACTTTATGTTTAGAAGCAATACCCACCTATCTGGATTCTGCTTTCAGTTCTAACTTGGTTACTCACTTGCCTTAAGAAAGTCACCTAAAATTCTTGGGGATTTTTTCTTAAATCTTTGCATTAGGGATACTAAAATTTGCCCTCCTATCTCACCTGATCTTTTATAAGGATTAAGATAATGGAAGGGAAAATATTTTGTGAACTATAAAACACCATATAAATGTCAATGTTTATCATTTCAAGTCCTTTGCACAATAAGGACAGAAATAAGTTAAAGTGGTCCCCCTTTATCTGAGGGGGGGTACATTCTAAGACCCCGTGCATGCCTGAAGCTGAGGATAGTACCAAACCCTATATATATTTTTCTCTGTACATACATACCTATGATAAAGTTTTATTTATAAATTAGGCCCAGTGAGAGATTAACAATAAAATAGAAAAATTATAACAACATACTGTAATAAAAGTTATGTGAATGTCATCTCTCTCAAAATATCTTATTGTGGGTAACTGAAACCGTGGAAAGGAAACCACAGGTAAGGGGAAATTACTTTGTTGATTAAATTCGAATATCCTCATTTTAACCTAGAGTTGCTAAAGATAGTAAAAACCCTTTAGAGTTTCTTTAAATACATTCAGTATTTACCTATAATTTGACCCATCTTTTTATAACTAAAGCTTTATAGTATCTATATTTTATTGATGTATGCTAAAATGATACTACTAATTAACATGTGTAACCTAGAATCAGGATTTAACCTTTACTCTGGTAATATTATTCAGGTAGTAGAGAGAATAGAACAGGACCTAAACCTACAAGGTTTAGATTTCAATTTCAGCTAAATCATTTTCTAGCCATAACACAACTTTTACCTTTTAAAAATATTTTAAATAATATTTACTGGACATTCACACTGTGTCAGGCACCATTTAAAGCACTTAGTATGTTTTGACTCTCACAACAACTCTATGAAGTAGAGACATTCTCATTTTTCAGATAAGGAAACCAAAACACGGAGAGGTTAGACAACATGTCCAAGGTCAGAGAGTAAATAGAGGACTGCATCAGGATTCAAGCTCAGGTGTTCAGCTTCCAGCAAGCAGAGTTTTAATCACTATGCCACACTGCATATCTATCTCTAGGGGCCTCGACTTCCTTCTGAGGATAATAGTACTCCATGGGATTCTCTATGAAGATGAAATGATATCAAGAAAGTAAAAACACTGGGTAACAGGCAAGGATTATATAATTAACATTAAAGAAAAAATTTTCCTTCTGCAACTATTTTAAATAAATGTCCTCCCCCTTATGACCTTTATTTTTTTTAACCCAGCTCAAACTAGAAATTATATTGTTCTGTTGTCTTCTTTTGTGGGAGGGGTGAACACAGGAAGGAGGCAAGTCAATCAATGTAAAAACCATTAAAAACAAAAGGAGGACAGCACAGCATAGTGGGATCATTTCAATAGACTCAAGTATAAAGATTCAATGCAGAAAAGACTTTTATATAATAGCTTTGAATACTAAAAGGAAAGTTATGAAACATCTGAGAGTTAATACCAAAAGATCAATGGATTAAATGTTATCTAAATATATTTCAATTCAACAGAAACTTATGTAATCTCAATGGGAAACTTCTGAGTTTGGCAAAGGTTTTCAAGCTTTCCTTTGCTGGCAAGGATAAGTTTGGATATGTGTGGGCTAACTGCAGACTAGATTATTTTTTCTAGTTAATAGTATTTACTTGTTTCATTATAAGAATTATATGAAGGAATTATAATGATGATCTTTTTCATTATCAACAATGACAGTATCATTAATAACTGCAACTATACAGTTATATAAATACATTTCAAATGTCTAACTTGCCAGCTCCAAAGAAGTTAAAGCCTAACAACTGTACAAAGAGATGGACTCTACTGGTGAACATTTTTATTTATGCCTACAATTGTGAAACACTTATAATCTGCCCTTTACCAATTTAATAATTTGTTAGCTCTAAGATGTTTTTCCTCTTACTTCACACTAAGAATTCAAAAGATAAATACTCATTCTCATTAGTGCCAGACATTTTCAAATATGAAATAAATGATTTTTGAAAGACCGAAAAATGGGGAGAAATAAGCTAATTAGGTCAACATCAGGAGACCTGGGTTCTAGTCCTGCAAAAGTAGGAATCAGTAGCTAAGTGGGCAAAAACGCCATGTGCAGTCTGTGCAACCTGAAAAAAAGGAAAAAGAGTAGATCTCTTTCAGAGCCTTTTTCTGTTAAAAATAATATATTCTATCCAAGGTCCAGAATCTCCCTTAATTAAAATATTACTGGTCATTAGAATGTTAAGTTAGACCTTAATTAGTAAATGTGTTCACTGATCTTCCATGGACTAGGACCTGAATTCTTAAGAGGCATCTAATTTAAAAAATTCAAATCACTAAATCAGTAGCAATAATACTGAACAGTGATGTTGATTAGTTTCATCCTCTATTTTACACTAGGGACAAAAAAATTTCATTGTAAATGTATATTAAACATTTCTGTTGGATGAAATATAAAGCAGGATGAACCCCAGACCAACATCTAGGTTCAAAAGTGGAGGATACAGTGCAGCCTCTACAAGCAGCTAGATGTGTGTGTGACTGTGGACAAGTCACTTAACTGCCTGGCTTCTGCTTCCTCATTTTAAAAATGAGAGCAGAGCCACTTACCAGTTAGTTTTTCAACCAAGTCCAGCTTCCCCTCTCTTAACTGTATTCCCCAGAGACAGAGTCATTTGTATCAGAATTCTGTATTCCACACAGTTTTCTTTTGTTCTGGGTCTAGCATTCTATTTTATAACTGCCTACTCAAAAGTACACTGAAAGAATGCAAAAATATGCCGGGTTTGTGCTTTGAACTCTAACAGTATTAAATAAATCCAGATATTGTCACTAGTTCAATATGACTAAGCACTTAGGGTAAAAGCCCCACAAGATGATACCTTTTCAGTTACATAATTTATAAATTTACCTAATACTTAAACCAGTTTATATTTTAGATGTCTATTTATTTTCTTGGGGATTATTCCCCCAACTATTATTTCATGCCAATATACAGACACTAAAATCTTGAAATATGCTTCACACAAGGTATATCAACAGTGACGCTATTGACATTTGGAGCCTGATAATTCTTTGTTGTGGGAGGCCGTCCTGAGCCTTGTAGGATGTTTAGTGGCATCCCTGTCCTCTCCCACTACATGTCGGTACCAGCACCACTCCCACGAAGGATGGCAACCAAGAATGTCTCCAGATATTGCCAGATTTGCTCTAAATAATGTCCCCTAAGAGAGGGGAGGTAAAATCCCCACCCCCCCCTAGAGAACTACAGATTTAAAGAACAACTCTTCATCTTATGTAAGAGAAGTCTCACATTGCCCCAACAGCCTAAAACCACCTTAAGAAAGTGTTAACCTAGCTTAAGAGGCCGAAGCTGCTTCCCAGAGAGAGAAAAATTGACAGAAGACCTACAAGGCCTTTAACCACAACTTGATCATGAGTGGAAAGGCAAAGAGAAGGGTGACAAAGAACTCTCGATCACAGACTGCCCCTACAGCATTCCCATAAACTAGGTGTATTCCAAATTAAGTACATATGTATACAAGAAGTGAGTATGATTTGAAATAGGCACGCTGAAAACTTTCAAGAGGAACCAATTCCGCAGACATCTTCAGGTAAGAGTTGACCACCCCTGGGCAGCTCCGCCACCCGCCCAACGCCGGCAGCCTGCGGGGCCCCCGGGTGCTGGGTGCCGGCCCGGCTACCGCCACGCCCACCGGACGTCACCCGTTACACAACGCCCCCCACCCCCAGCTTATGCAATTCCGCCCTCCCGCGGCTTCCAATTGTCCCGGTGACTTTTGGGGCAGAGGAAGGTAAACGTCGCCTGCCTGGGCTCGGCTGCCCAGGCTCCTCTCCCCGCCCAGCCGTCGTTTCCCAGCCGCGGCCCGGCCCGATAGCCAATTATCGGAAAGAGCCCGGCAGGAAGCAAAGGCTGCCCCGGCACGCAGGACTCCCACCCCATCCCGCGCCCGGGCAGCCTGGGTCCCGGTCACCCGCTCCGTGCCCGACGCGCGCGCCCGCCCGCCAGGCCGCGGCCGAGGAAACCCCGCGCCCGGGCGCCCCTCCCCGCGCCGCGTCACAGTCGGCTCCCAGGGCGATCCCCATTGTGACCGAAGCACCCCGGGGCGCCGCCCCCTCCCACACCCCCGAACACCCCGACACCAGACACACCGAGGGCCAAGGGACCCCAGGGAAACAGAGACGGCTCCCCGGGGCGCACCAGGCTCCGTGTACCGGGCCCGCCTGGGAGAGGAGGGTGGGGTCGGCCCGGCCCGCGTCGCATCCCCGCGCGGTCACCTGCTCGCAGCGCCTCACAAGCGGCGGCCAGGGCCTCCCGGTAGCGTCCCTGGTGCAGCAGCTCTCCGAGCCGCCCGGCCGCCCGAGCCCGCTCACGCTGGCCCGGGAACCACTTCTCGGCCAGGTGGTTGAGCACGACGCTGGTTCTGAAGTCTGAGGCGGCGATGGCGGCGGCCAGAGGCGGCGGCCGCGGGGCGGTCCCCTCAGCATCAGTGGCACTGGCGGCGGCGGGAGGCAGCCGGTCCCGGCACAGGCGGCAACGGGCGCGGAGCTCTCTCCGCAGGCAGCGGCGGCAGTAGCTGTGGCCACAGGGCACGGTCACCGGCTCGCTGAGGAAGCCCCGGCAGCCCAGGCAGCTGAGGAGCCCGCCGGAGCCCGCAGCCGGGGCGGCGCTCCAGCCCAGCCCGTGGCGGAGCCGGTAGTTGAACACCAGGCAGTCCACCAGGGTGCCGAGGCACTCGGGCCTGACCGGGGCCCCCCGCCGCAGCGCCGCCGCGTACGCCTCCAGCGCTCCCTTCAGGTGGCCGCCCAGCGCCAGCAGCTCGCCGCGGCGGAGCAGCAGCTCCCAGCGCTCCGACTCCGCGGCCGCGCGCTCCAGCCGGTGGCCGCTGCCGCCGCCCACTTCCCAGAACCGGCCTCGGCCCTGTGGCCTGGGGGCCACCTCTCCACTCCCTCCCGGGGAGCTCCTCGCCACCGCCGGAGAAGACATGGCCCGCTGAGGGCTGCTCCGCCGCCACCACCGCCGCCCGCCGCCACGGTCCCGGAGCCTCCGGGGCGCGCGGCTCCGCACGCGGCCCGCGAGCAGGGGGGCGTGGCGCGCGGACACGGCGGGGCGGCGCGCGCTGGGAACCGGGGCGGGGCAGGAGGGCGGGCCTGGCGGCGGGGCGCGGCTTGGCCACCGCGCCCGGGACTCCCTCACGCAGCCCGCGGCCGCGTTCCCGCTGAGCCGACCGCCGGGCCCCGCCCCTTCCGAGCCCCTCCTGGCGAGGGACGCGAGGTCAGATGATTCCCCCAGCAGGGATTTAATTGGCTTCTCCGGAAAGGAGGCCTGGCTTGTTACGGAACAAAGCCCGGAGGAGCCCAGAACCTCGTCCGCCTCTCGCCTCCCCGCCTGGCGCCCCCACTTGCGGTGGCCTCTCTCTTGGCCCCGGCTTGGCGGGGCCGTTCTGTGGAGCGGCCCGCCTCGCGACACTGAGGATCAAGTCGCCCACCCTCCCCCCCAACGTGCCAGCCCACCTGGGTGGGGACCTGCCCCCTCCTCCCGGCTGTGGGAGCCTCCTGCTGCCGCGTTTCGCTGTCAGGTGCCGGTTTGCATTTTCATTAGTCTAAGCCCCTGCTTACGGATGGACACGCCCAAGCAGAGGGCCTAGGAAAGCGCAGTCAGCCTGATGACTGTGACTTCTCAGGTCTACGGTAGGTCCACTTAAGACACAAAAAACCCACGTTCCCCAGGTGCCTCCTTCCACAGGGCAAGACAGTTTTTCCTGGCGTCAAGTTGATGCTGCTTGTCCTGTTTAAAACTCACCGTACCCCCCAGCCCCTGGGGGAAGCCCACAGGTTTCCCAGGTGCCAGCTGTACTCCCCACACCGCAAGCACTGCCCCACAGCTGGCTGAAGTCTACATCTGGTATTTTTAAAGAGAAGACACCAAGAAAAATGCTTTTCACGTGGCAGTCATCATATCACTACAACCCAAGCAGTGTCTGCAGTTTTGCCGGCAGAAGAAAATGATCTGGTTTATATATAATGGGTTATATTTCCTTTAAACTTGAAAGCAGCGAATTTAAAGTTCTCGGTGAAAATATTTATAGATTTGATTATAGGGTACTAGATTGTTAATGTTTGCAGTGACTTCGAACTTTTAGTTCTTTTTCAAATGGTTGGAAACAGAGACGGAAAGTTATTTATCCAAAATCACACGGCTAATATAGAGGTTTTAAGATCGCTTAACTCCCTTTTCACTATCATGTTACTATGTTAGAATAATATGTAATATTTAATAAAATAATGCGTGGTGTTTCTTAGAAATATTTTACATGAGCTTTTCAAAGTAAAGGAAGTTGCTAATTGGCTAACGTATAGTTAACATCCCTCTTTATACAGAACAGGCAGTTAAAGCTCAAAAATGTTTTGAGTTACATATGTTTTTACTACACAATGAGCAAATCATGTAACTTCAGAAAAGATTTATATTACCCCAAAGGGAATGGATAAAAAAAGAGTTGACTGAGAAAAAGCTAAGACTCCTGTTCCAACAGGGTGCAGAGACAAACAAGTTCATTTATCATGTACATTGCATCTGAAGCAAATTGCAGCTAGATCCAAGAAACACCTCCTGATCATTTGGTGTGGGAAGCATTGAGAATTCATGAGCATAACTTCAAATCTAACCTTAATCCCCTAAATTACTACCTTCCCGCAACAGGGAGAACAATGACTTTAGTTGGATGCCCACATAATCACTTGAGACCTGAAATCATAAGTAGTTTAACAATATTCGTATGCACATGCACATTCGCTTTTGTGATGCATTCTTGCCTTTAACAGCAGCTTGCAAAATGTGCAATAGTAAATATTTAATGTGTTCATGATCATACCAGGAGTATAATAAATTGATAGACACTCATAAATTTCTTTTCAAATATAGTTTTTATATTTCAAATATAGGTTTTATTATGGAATTTCCGCCAAAAGTAAAATATGTGGTTCAGAAAGCAATGTGAAGTATCATTTATCGTTTGGAGTTTCTTTCCCCAATAAATAAGATAAGTAACCACATCAGATTCTGATGTGAGATAAAGTGGCACAATTATGATAATGTGAGGGAAGAAAAAATGGGACTGTAGGAGGAATCTTGCCGTGTTCTCCTTGGCATTTGTGAATGGTTATAATTCATGTTTGCTGGTTTATACATTTACATAACGTGTTCTCATTTATGTAACTTATTTATGTAAGAGGCTGTACTGCCACTGTGGCCTTTTGTATGCTGCACAACTTCCCTCTGAATCAGGAAGTCTAAGCAAAGCAGTCACTGGCACTATAATAGGTCACTCATCAGCCATTCTGTGCCACCAAAAAGTTACACTTGGATTTGACTGCTTTTTAAATTCAAAGGCAAGAAAAATTAGTATCCTTCTTTGTTCATTTTCTAAAATTTAGACTTTACTCTCTAACTCACCCAGGAGAGAAGGTGAAGAGGGGATTGCACAAAACAGCCCCTGGGCCAGGAGGAATATGATGGGGTGAAGGGCTTTTTTCTCTCTTCCTTCCAGCATTACTTGCTTTTGTCATTCTTTGTTAACAAAGTAGTAAAATCATGAGATTTGTATTCCATTTCAATTTTTTTTAGTGTTGTCTTCTAAAATAGATCAGTTATGTAAGAGAGTAAGAAGAAAAGCATATCTGTTTCCTAATTTGGAAAATGCTTATCACCATCACTGCCTGCTATCTCTCCCACTGCCACGCCATAAGACTTTTCCTGATATAATTAGGTAAACTCCTTTTTAAGAATAATACAACACAGGGCTTTTCTTGTACACAAGTCAGCTGAAGATGTGTATTTGAGCCTCCTTTTTTTTTTTTGGCGGTGGGTGAATTTACCATTTGTTTCCTCACATTCTTATCATTAAGAGAGACTGAATTTAAGCTGGAAAGAGCCAAGCAAAATTATGTCCCCTTCCTGATTCATTTTACTTGATAACTTTCTACTCAATGCCTTGAAAACAGTAAACTGGAAAGTTTGATATAAACAGTACATACCCAATTGCATTTCTATACACCATACACAGACGGAAGGGGCTCTGGAGACCGACTTTTCATACCTCTCATTTTATGTATATGAGAAAATTGAGATCTGAGAAGCTACTAGTTTAAGGGAATCCAGACACCTGTATTGTAACTAAGTGTATTTATGCCTCTGTGGGAAGAAATTTGCCATCTGTAAAAAGATAGAACTGGAACTATTTCTAAGGTCCCTTCTGCTTCTGGAGCCAAGCACTCAGGGTTTGTTTGAACACAAGGAGAGGAGGCAGAGAATCTCCCAGACTCAGAAACACAGCAATGTGACACCTGATGAAAATGCAACAGCAGAAGGTGAAGGCTGAGAATAGAAGAGGAGGGTATCAAGAAACACACTTTGTTGGTGCACACCCAACCCTGTTCCGGGGGAGGAAATGGCTCTCTGGGACATGAGCATTTGCAGTCACTGGACAGGGACACCCCACCCCACACACATGTCCTCACCCTACTGTAAATCTGTGAGAGGCTGGAAGAAAGCCCGCGGGGGTGGGAGTGGGGGTTGGGGAGGTGGTTATATAACTTGGGCATTTGTGGGGAAGTTTATATAAGATGCTAAAAATACAGTATATGATTGCTATAATAGCGTTCTAAGTGAGAAGCCCTAATGAGGACAACCTGAGTAGGTTAAATAGAGGTGATACTAAGGAGATGTCTAAATCCAAATGCCTGCAATGACTACTGTCTAACCAAGGACAGTTTACTACTCATTTCTAAAGTATTTTTTGTTATCCCTACTGGGCACACTGTTAAAGTGCTCAAGGGCCACTACCCTTAATAATGGCACTATTAATTCTTATTTTCTGATATTCTGAAGAATCTAGAAATACTAAGTATGTAGCCCACAGTCTTATTGGTAGTCAAATTTATAAAATGAATGTATTTCCCAGTATCACAGTATCAAGCTGTTTAAAAGCATAGACATAGGAATAAACCCCATATATTATTTAATAAATTCTCAGAATTAAGTACATATTAATTCCCCTGGTATTTTCCATCCTCTTTCCTTGCCACTCCCAGCCTTCAGTACTTATCATCTGACATATTATGTAGTATATGTGTGTGTGTATATATAATTTGTTTCCACCCTCTAGAATGTAAGCTAGATGTGAGGTTGAGATGTGAGATTTCTATCTTGTTCACTGATGTGTCTCTAGCATCCAGGCACCAAGAAGACACTAGATAATTATTGTTGAATGAGCCCACCCACAAATTAAAGATATCATCTAATATTCTTTATTCTTGTTAGTGACAAAAACTCATTATTAATGTACTAGGACAATTTATTTTCTCCATTTTTTTCTCTGTTATGGACTGAATATTCATGTTGAAATATAATCCCCCATGTGATGGTATTAGGAGGTGGAACCTTTGGGAGGTAATTGGGTCATTAGGGGGCAGCCCTCATGAACAGGATAGTGTCCTTAGAAGAAGAGGCCAGAGAGCTACTGCTCAGTCTTTTTCCATCATGTGAGGAGACAACACGAAGTTAGCACTCTGCAACCCAGAAGGGAGGCTGCACCAGAACCCGACCATGCTGACACCCTGATCTCAACTTCTTAACCTCACAACTATAAGGAATAAATTTCTGTTGTTTATTAGTCATCCGATCTATGGTACTTTGTTATAGCAGCCTGAGCTAAGACATCCTCTCTGTTATACTTACCATCTGGTCTTACAGATAATCCTTTTGGTTCTATATTCAGAATATATCCAGATTATGATCCCATCCCACTGATGTGTCCCTCACCACCATCCTGGCCCAAAGCATTAGCATCTCTTGTCTTAAAATTAAGACAACCAGTTTTGATATTCTTTAGGTAAAAGAAATACTCTTACAAGTGGAAACAGATATAAAGAAAGTTATATTTACTAAAATATATATACAGTATTTGTATATGTATGTATATATATATATATTTCAAGAAAACAAATAAATTATGAACAATTTGATTTGGCCTTATGATTAGCATTATTGTTTTGAAATACTTCCTAAACTCCTGGGAATATCAGCAAAGACTTTGAGATTTGAGAAAGTTTGGTGGGATGCCTATATAGGTAAAAAAATCTTAGAGTAATTCACAATTTCACTCTTTCTCTCATTTCCCATCTGATCTGCCAGAAAATTCCTTGATTCTACCTTCAGAGAATATCCAGAATCTGACCTCTTCTCATTCCTCCTCTGCCACTACCCTGGCCCAAGCCACCAGCATCTCTCACCTGGATCACTGCAACAGCCTTCCCACCAGCCTCTGCCTTGTCATGACACCCCTTCATTCAGTTATTAACACAGCAGCCAGAGTAGTCTCAAAACATCAACTGGATACTCCTCAAAACACAGCATTTCCTTCCCATTTCACTCAGAAGAAAATCCACAGTCCTGACTATGACTTACAAGTCAACACTTGACGTGGTCTACCTGTCTCCCCTTCCAGTCTTTTTATCTTTAGCATCTATCCCTAATGTAACTGTATATTTGATTTGTCTTATTTGTACTTTGTCTACCCCAAAGAATATAAATTCCACAGGGATTAACTTCTTTGTTCTCTGCTGAATATTCAGGGCTTAGAACACATAATTGGTCCTCAATAAAAAAAAAAAAAATGCTGAATGAAAAAATGAGAAAGGGCCGCTGGTACCACACACAGACACATGTTTACTTGGATGCTCAGCTCCTGCTCGTGATGGCTATGGTTTCCTGTGCCACAACTAGAGAGGAGAGGGAAGCCTATGGAATTTAAGGATGTGGGCTGGAAGCTCTAACATGGTTTCCTAGGACAGGATCTAACAAAATAATAATTACATTCAAAAGAGATAAGTAGAAATAAAATCGTAACATCCAGCTACTTGGAAATGAATCACTAGCTCTAGTGACCAACACCAAGTGACTCCTTTGGGAAGTTCCTGAATTTTCTGGCAATCTGATAAATGCTCTGTGCCCATCCAATATAGAAGAGTCCCTGCCACTGTCCTCCCACATGGTTTTGTTTCATTTATACATTCCTAAGATTATACAACTTGGCTGGGCAGTCCCCTAGTTTAGAGGATGAAGGCATGCAGTACATGGTAGTATATTTTCAGCTCCTGTGGTTTTTTTTTTAGAATCTGAGTTGTTAGGTAAATCATAAGGGATTCAGGATTGCAGTCCATAAAAGGAGTGACTTGGATAAAGTTAATACATCTATAGTTTTGTATAAAAGACTGGAGTAAGTTAGCTGGGTGGGAAGACTGTCTTAATATTTCTCAGCTGACATTTCTACACTAGGGTGGGAGGAGCCAGAGCTTCCCAGGAGCACATTTATTCCAGAGTACCTTTGCTACAAGTGCCTTTTGGCCTTCGAGGATTTATGAATCCAGATGCCCCTATATCCTTGTCCTCCATTACATCGACTCAGGCCTAAAATAATTAAGACCTCTCCCATAGAAAGTGCTTTCTCAGATTTACATCAAACTTTTCTGAGCAGCACAGGCATTCCAAAACAGCTTCATTTTATTTCCCCTAAATTTGATGTAGCCAAGCTATCTGATTCCAAATATGAGTAGATAGCTCAAATACAGCCAGCAATAGCTGAGTGCACTAAACTTTCATCTATATCTGTTTACATAAACAACTTGCTTAAAAGAATGCCTTGGAATTGTTTATATGATAAATCAAACTTCTTTTGTGTTTATAGAAAAAAAAGTCCCATATATGCATAGAAAAAGTTGGCGACCACCAAGATGGTGTGAGTTGGACACTATGTCCACTGCAGTAATGTCAAAAATTGTATTACCAGAGTGCAAGCCCCCTTGATTCTGTACACCAAGGGGCGAAATTTCTCCGACTCTATAATGCGGGGATTGTAATAGATCACTTCTAAAGTCCCTTCCAGTGCAGAGAGACTGGCATGTCTGAAGAAATATATCCCTGCCTTTTAGTAACTTTCCAGTGGAAATGAAGCCTTTGGGGCCCACAGATTGATAACCTTTTATTTTGCAATTGAAAACAAAACCACCCTTGGGTCCACCCTCACAAAGCTGGGCCATTCTCTGCGGAGTTGGTGTCTATACCTGCGCACCTTGCTTTTGTCCAGGCCCTGGGCAGGGTCACGGTTTGCGGGGTGGGGGAGGGGCATCGCTGCGTTGAGTGGCCAGTGAGGACAGAGGGCGGTGTGACGATGGTGACAGATCACAATGGGCAGCAGAAGGGTGGTTGGTTTAGGCGTCATCGTGGAGGCTGGAGGAAGGTGAGCAGTCGCGGATTGTGGCTCAGGCTGAGCGGGTGTCCGGCGTCCCCACATCCCCGCAGCATTGAAATAATCTGGATCCAGGCGCCAGGGAAGTCCTCACCTGGCACCCAAGGGCTGAGTAGTGAGTAGTGCCCTTGTCCCCTCCCAGGCGCCCCCTTTGGGGTGTTCTGGAGCAAAGTGGGGGCCACAGCCATGAGCCAGGAATCTATGTTATCACATTACAGGAATCTGTGTTATCACATTACAGGCATCTGTTATCGTACTACAGGAATTTATGTGATCCTGAAACAGAGAACAGCATCATGTTTAATGCCTCCATGAGGAAACTACAGAGACGACTGTACAGGGGAGAGTGTTGAAAGAAATACTTCAGACAATTTAAATTTAACAGGGTTTAATTGTGCAAAGAATGATTCACAAATCAGGCAACACCCAGACAAAGTAGAGGTTCAGAGAGCTCTCTCGGCAGGAAGTATTTATAGACAGAAAACTGGAAGTGTACCAGAAATAGCTTGATTGGTTACCACTCTGGCATTTGAGGGTCTGACCAGTGAGCAGCTTGTGATTAGCTGAAGCTGGGTTGCTATGACTGGCTGTAACACAGCTATTTGTTACAAAAACATGCTCCTTAGTGAGGCTTTCAGTTTATTTACATACTAAGTTAGGTTGCAGTTCCTAATTATAGGGATTCAAGGTACGGAGGCAGCCTCAGACCAAATTTCATTTGATTTAACAGGTTTTTTGGTTTTTTTTGAAAGAAATTTTTTCCAGATCAGTAAAAGAGAAGCCATGATTGATGTACACACCATGGGAATGGTGACTGTGGACCTCGTATCTACCTGCTCCAGCCTGGCAACACCTGATGTCATGCTGCTGACCTGAGCAGAGGTGGCTAAGACACCCAGGGAAAAGGGCACAGGCCTATAAAGACCTTAGAGGTAACTGGATTGCCTCCAATCGTGAGAACAACAGCTGCCCCTGACCTGCCACTGGCCATTCTCCACCTTCAGCTGTGTCCCCTTTGGATACAAAACAAGATCTTTTTGCTCACTGGGAAAACCTTTTTTAGCCCCTAAGACCACTAACGGAAGCTTGCATTTGTTCCTAGGCCATCTTATTGTGTCCCAGCTGAGGACACAATGGACATATCTGCATTTGAAGCAAAGCCCAGTGGCCATGGAGAAGGGGACCACCACTAGTTCACCATCAGGAGCCTTTTCATGGTCCCTCAGGTGTTTGGGGCCACCTCCTCTTATTACATTGAAGGGGAAGGAATGCAACATGCCTCCTGCACGTGGTATGTTCATGGAAGCATACTTTCTCTCTTCTGTTCTAATCACAATACCTCCACTGCCCAACAAAGGGTCAGTAGCAGTGGTATCAATAGGTATGACAGCAGGTGCTATGGACATAGAAGTCACCAAATCCACAGATTCAGGGCACATAAATGCAGAAACAGCCTTCATGGATCGAAGAGGAACCAGTATGTGCATAGCAGGTGGACTCAGAGGGTCATCATGTAGTTGGAGCAGTGCTTGTAAGCATGTCCTTGTCCTCAGGGGGTATGTCCAGCATGTCAGCAGAAGCTGCTGGTGTCTCCCCAGAGGGCAGCAAGTGTGATGTTTGCAGGAGCAGATGCAACCAGCAAGCCTGTTGTAGAAACAGGCCCAATAGCAGGACCCCTTGTCTCAGCCTTGCAAATAAAGGCTACACAAGTGAATGGGATGGAAGTCAGGAAGTCTCCAACCTAAGGTTGATGCCCAGAGGGAGAGAATAGAAAAGGACAGAACTCCCACAAGAAGTCACTGCCATCATCACAGGATTGGAGAGAACGAGTCAACCATAAGAACATTCATCTTCTGGTCCTTAGCCTGCCACTAGGACCACTAGGGGCGAAAAAAAGGAAAAAGCTAGAGGAACCAAGGAACCTGAGGACACAGGTCCTCCCCTTAGGAAAATGCCAGCCCCAACATTACGGCGAAGAGAAGTCTACGTTATCTCAACAATTGGAGAGGAGCCAAACTGTGACAAGTGTAGGGTCTTCAAGCAGAAATGGCTCTTCATGAAGCTCAGAGCCTGCCTTGCTGCACATGGTAGAGAGGTGGGATGAAGTCTAAGATAGTGGAAAAGGGGAGCATGGAGGCTACCACGTAGTCAGCAGAATGTGGCAGGAGCTAGGGATCCCTGGGACCATATCTGAGACCAACAGGACAATAACTTTGAAGCCCATCAAAAAAGGAATCACAGCATGGAGGCCAAGGTGTTTCTAGGTTAGCTGGCCTTCATTTAAGTAAATACACATAAATGAATAAAATACATTCTAAGAATGAGAAAAGAAAGCATAAAGCACAATCCAAAGGCACATGTCTTTTCATCATGAAATTCACACATATGTATTGGTGAGGTTTGTCCCATGGAGGCAAAGGAAGAATCAAAAGCACCCACACTCAATGGACCTGTGTGGGCCAGCAGAAGAGTGTCTTAGCTTCCTACCTTTTCTCCAGAATGCACACATTTCATTCTTGAGCCTAGTGGGTCTAGTGGGTGTAAGAATCACCCAAGGTGCTTTTCTGCAATGCCGATTCTTGGCCCTGGACAAACTGAACCAGGATCTCACAGAGTGGGACCATCTTAGGTGATTCTGATGGAGGTGACCCAAGATCTGGACTCAGGTGCCTAACACTGGTACATGGTCCAATTTCAAAATGGGCCTCAAGAGTCAGCAAGTAGGCCCTGCACATTTTCATGTAAATGTGCTCATTTTTTTGGACTATGCACTAGTTCATTTTCATCACACCTACTGTAGACATTTATTCATTAACCAATATTACAGTAAGAGTTTACTATGCGCCAGGCACTGTTTTAGGTGCTCTACAAGTCGAGCCTTTCAATTTCTTGAAAATCTGGTTTTTACAGTGCTAAATATAGACTTGCCTTATTATCCTCTTTAGCTGCTGCCTAGACTGTCATTATACGGTGAGTGACATATGAATGTTCCTTCTAAGAGGGAGGGCATGGGAAGAAAAAGAGGGACAATGGCCCTCTTTATCCTTACCCTTCTGCAAAGTATAGGACATTCACTGGCTTGCCAAAGCTTTATAATGTTGCTGAAAATATAAATAAGTATGCCATGAAATATGTAATGGGGTAGAGGTTGTGAAGCAGTAAATACATAGTACATTAAAAAATTACAAATCTTTCTATTTTGAGATAATATCTAAATTGAGAAACAGATAACTATCTTCTCCCCACCCCTTAATCAGTAATCATATCCACAGTAACATATTGCAAGACTTGAAAACTAGGTTGTAGGAGTAGAACAGCATACATATTTCAGGAAAAGAAATGAAATGCTGTATTGCCTTAAGATACCAAATAATTGCTTCTTTCTCAGTATTTATCTAGTCTCAGCCTTTTGTAGTATATAGAAGTAAAAAAAAAAAGTCTTTTAGCAAATTATAGTCACCTTTGGAATATTCTTTTGCTCTTGTTTTGAACACCAAGGAAATGAGAGGTCCACCATGTTGACATGTGTGCTTTAGGCCTAGATTTAACGCCTGGTATTTATGTGCTGACTTGACATCTGCTGAAATCAGGAGGGCCTTGAATGTTCTAACCACTATCCCCCCCTCCCCCGCAACCGTGCTTCTGTGGATAAGGTTCCCTAGCTGAATAAGCTTTCTTATCAAAGGAACGAAGCACTTCCTGCTTTTCCTGGAGTATAGGGTGTCAGTTCCCTGCTAGCTTTCAGAATTGTTCAGACAAGCCAATCACATCCTCCAGGGAAACAGCAGACATCCCACCCTCTTGATACTATAGAGCTTGCCTCTGACAGCTCTTGGTTGTTGAGTGCAACCCTGCTTGGCATACTGTGTCCCTCTCCCCTGGGCAGTGAGTATTTCTGACTAATAAACTGCTGTTGATTTTGTGTGTCAGTGTTAGTAGTCTGTCTTAAGCCATCCCTATAACTGTAGGGAAGGAATCTGGCCTATACCAGTGGAATGACTAGGAGATGATTAAAACAACATGTTTTATCCACTGAAATAGGATCTTTATTAAAATAAACTATATGTTTAAATAAAATGTTTTCATATAACTTTAGAAAGCATTAAAAATCAAATATTTTTCACCAATACTAAGACAGCCAGCAAAAGCAATCTACTTGGATGCTTTCTTTTATTGTAGCTGTTCTTGTAATAGATTGAAAATAAAGATATGAATGGCAGGCATGGTGTCTGCGAGGGCCACAGATTATCATAACGGCTAGTAATTCCAGAAATTAGTCAATACTGGGTAAAGAAAGGAGTCCTCATTTCTCAGGAAGCAAACTAGGCAAATACATGAAACAAGAACTCCCACAAATTTATTTATGTATGAGTCAGGAGTTTGATAACACCTATTGTTGACTTGACAAAAACTAAGAGCTCTGCTCCCACGGGTCCTATAGGACAGTGGACATCAAAGCTCTGGAAAAAAGGCCTGAGTGGGAAAGAAGGGAAGAGAGGGGAGGTATTACCATTTAGTCACTGCTTGGACCCAACTGTACATGCCAAGCAGGGAGTACAGGAACCCTTCATGATTTCCATGCCCTAGCGTCAGACAGCAAGGCCATGAAGGCCCATGCAGGCTCAGTAAAGATTATGTTATGGAGAGCATGACCTGGGAGGTGAATCCAGAAGGTCACAGGAAAGAGGGCTTTGATCTACTTAAGGCAGCACTTGGTTTGGGGATTGACTCCCCTCCTGTTTGTGACATACTACCTTCAAAGTACAACCCTGAAAGTAGACCACAAAGGCCTGTTTGTACAACATTAAATGCAACTGGGTGTCCTAGTATCAAAGTAGCTACTATTTATTAGCAACTATGTGTGTTGCTAACCACACTCTGGTTCATTGTCTTCCTTAATCTACTTAGCAATTTTTTGAGCTAGGTACTCTTACCTACATTTTATAAATGAGGAAACTGGGCAGGGTGTGATGGCTCACGCCTGTAATTCTAGTACTCTGGGAGGCCAAGGCAGGAGGATTGCTTGAGGTCAGTTCAAGACCAGCCTGAGCAAGAGCAAGACCCCATCTCTACTAAAAATAGAAAAAATTAGCTGTGCATGGTGGTGCACGCCTGTAGTCCCAGCTACTTGGGAGGCTGAGGCAGAACACTCACTTGCACCCAGGAGTTTGAGGTTGCTGTGAGCTAGGCTGATGCCATGGCACTCTAGACTGGGCGACAAAGTGAGATCATGTCTCAAAAAAACCCAAAAAAACAAAACAAACAAACAAACAAAAAACAAATGAGGAACCTACATTAAGTAACTTATTCAAAGTTGCATAGCTAGTAAGTAGAGCCTGGATTCAAACCCAAAGCCAGGGTTCATTCTTTCTCTTTTTAAATCAGTGTTATGTATATATTTGAGGTTTACAACATGATGTTATAGGATACATAGAGATAGCAAAATGATTATTATAGTGAAGGAATTGAACATATCTATCATCTTACATAGTTACTTTTTTGTGGCAAAAGCAGCTAAAATCTACTTAATAAAATCCCTAATACAATGTTATTCACTATAGTTCTCAGGCTTTGCATTAGATTTCTAGGTTTGTTTATCCTACATGTCTGTTACTTTCTATCTGTTGACCTACATCTTCTGAGTCCCCCACCACTCTGATCCTGGACCCTACTAATTAACCACTGTTTTATTCTCTGTCTCTGTATATATATTTGATCTTTTTGGTTTGTTTGTTTTAGATTCCATGTATAAGTGAGATTATACAATAGTTTTTTTTTTTTTTGTGGCTGGCTTATTTAACATAATGAAAATGTGATGTGATATATGTATTTTATATCATATCAATATATATAATATGTTATGTTATATGTATATTATTTGGCCTTAAGAATGGAAATCCTGCCATTTGCCACACATGGATGGAGCTTCAGGATTCATTCTTAATAGCAACCAGGATGTGCCTGGGAATTTCTGGGGAGAAGGGACTAGAGAAAGAGGGCTACCTAGGACAATCAACTCTAAGCACAATGCTAACAAGGAAATAGGTCATGTCTTTAATACAAGTGTAGACAGTTTTAGAGAGAGAAAACAAAAAACTCAACCAGGTGTCCCAAAAGAATATACCATTAAGGCCTACTCATAATACAGATGGATCCATGTAGTAGAAGGTGGAAATGCAATTAAAGAACATGAAATAAATACATATTTACACCGTGTGTTTTGATGCCACCTTCTAAATAGCTTGCAATTTATTATACAAACTTACTGAAGCAGCATTTTGTGTTGTATAGAAAGCAAAGGCAAAAACATGCATGCTCTGAAGGGCGTTGATCCGCAGCCAGCAGTGTTCAGCATTGGTTGTGTGTTTATCTCTCCTTCTGTTACGTAAGCGTGTTTATGTTACATAACATCAATACCCAGAGCGGTAGCCAAATGATGTTATGCTAACTGATGGGAACACAAAAGTACTGCAGAGCTCAGCAGTACTTCACAACAGCACTTCCTTCTGATGGTATCAAGTAATAAGAAACGACTCACCTTGCAAACACACCTGCTGTATACATGTAATCAATTCATTTCCTTTTACTGCTTCTTTAGTATTGATTCTAGCCTGTCTTTAATTCCCATGTATTACTTAGGTTTTGATTTAAGAAATTATATTTTAAAAGACTTTGAAGTACAAAAAAAACCCCTGACCTGGCTGAATACCTGGAGACCTCCATAAAGTTCTCTTGTATGAATCCACTGTTAAGAGGTACATAGGACATAATGATTTATAATGGAATTTACAGAGCTTAATGTTAGGTCTGAAAGATTCACTTCTAAATTATGTAGATTTGAATTACATTCATGCTAATTGAGTTAGTTCAGAAAAGTGTTTATGTTGACATTAAATCACTGTGTTTTGGAGACACTCTTCCACTAAACCTGCTCATTCATGGTAAAACCATACTACTGTCATCTCTCTCACTTCAGTACTTATTATAATTAGTATGTATGTACACTATATAAATATATAATTATCTGCATACATCTGTCATATGGCCTCTAATTTTCTTTGACTCCTTTTTATTACATTGAAAGTTTTCTGAGGAATGGATATATGTCTTCTGCTTCCACAAGCCTCAAAACTCCTAACAGAATACCCTGAACATTGTGAACATACATTTTCAAGTCAATTAACAATGTTGTAGCTTTGGAAGTATCTCATAGGAATCAAACCTAAATGACTCCTCCCAGATACAAGACATCTCCTGGGTGGTTTCTTAGAGAAAAACATTTCCAAATTACTTGTTTATATAATCAAATGGCCACGTCCTCTGCTCCTCTGAGAGCTGTGTTAAAAGGAAATTCAACATCTAAACGAGTATTCATTTGTAAAAGATCATACTGTATCTAAAGGCTAAAGATGGTTTAAATGTATAACCTATTTCTAGCTAATGCTAGTTTATCTATTAATACTTTCTTATTCACTTTTTCCCAACTGTTTCACTCAGATCTCATCAAGGATATTTTATTTTCCCAGCCATGTGTACAGGGATTTCTAGATCCATCGGTTACCTTATAGGTGTTTCTTATTTAAATAAGAATTTTCTTAAGAAAATCAAATATATTAATATAAAAGTTCAAACTTCCCTAATGGTTAAATTGGGAGAGATACTATTTTACATTACAAAGGATTCTTAACTTTATAAAAGAGACCTCTCATTTCTTCTTTCTATAAATATTATTGAGCACATTTGCAAGATAAAAAGAGTTCTGTGGATGGATGGTAGTGACACTAGCACAACAATGTGAAAGCACTTAATGCCCCTGAGTTGTATACTTAAAAATGGTTAAGATGGTAAATTTTAGGTTATGTGTGCTTTACCACAATTAAAAATCTACATATTATTGAGCATCTCTGTGTGGCCTGCTTTGTGCTGCCTGCTATGGCCATGGCACTGAGACAGAGATCATCACTGCCCATAAGACACTTGCAGTATAGTGGGACAAACAGTCTAGTTCTCTGACCGCATTACCCAGCAAATGTGGCCCAGTGCAGTGACGGATAATCTAGCAGCGGGAGCCTAATTTATTTAGAGGGGCTCAGAGAAGGCCTAACTCAGGAGGTGATATTAATTTGAGATGGGTTTAGTTCTTTGAAATATACAGGAAAAGGCTTCAGGACCAAGAGATCACCACCGAATAGGAAAGAATTCAGTGTATTTGAGCGACCGAAGGATGGCTGTTAGGGGTGAAGATATTTTGCGGGGTGGAGAAAATATGGAACAAAAAGCACTTGGAAAGGAATCAGGTTCCAGATCATCTAGGTAAAAGGGATTTGGATTTTACTGCAAGTAAAACAAAAGCTACTGAAAGGTTTTAAACAGGAAATTGACATGGTCTTATTTATACTTTAAAAAGCTCACTCTGACTGCAGTATAGAGGATGGGTTGAAAAGGGAAGTGTAGAAGGAGAGAATAAATAAACTATTTGAACACTTACTCCTTTTACACCTAAGTATAATTTGACTTAAAACACAATGCGCTTAATATTTTTCAAGGATATATTTACGGGGAAATAAATGTAAAGTGTATCTACTGGTTCTCATTTTTTTCTTTATATGAATCTAAATTGTTTCTTCAACTATTTTTTCTATTCCAACTATATTTTAATTTGCTTGCCTTTGTATTTTCTCCTGAATATATATAGTGGATATTTTTTGACCAATGCAATAACTTATGATAAAGCTATCATTACTTATTATTGAGTTCAGCATTACTCATATGCAATGTATTACTACTGCTATTATATAAATATTAGATGATAAAAATACTCCAAACAATATTTTGTTGGTAGAAAGATGATCCTAAATTACTGCCTGTTGTCTTATCATCAAAGGTTGGTGTTGTCCTTCCCTCCATATTATGCAAATCATC